AGTGTCAGTTTTTAATAATGATTTTTCCCCCTGGTATGAACCACACTTTTTGGTTTCTTTGCATGTCACATAAATTCCTTTGAAAACTAGACATTTTAGATAATATATTGCAGCAATTCTGGATTCCAATATTTTTTCCTGAGGGTTGTCTTTTTCTTGTTGTTGCTGTTGTTTTTGTTTGTTTAATAACTTTTCTAGGCTTTATCTGCAGATTTTTTTTTCCCTGTAAGTGTGGCCACTGATGTCTTTGCTATTGGTTTTTTAATTCTTATTTTTATTTTTTAGACTGCCTTCCTCAGGGTTATCCAGCTATGTCTGTAAAGCTTGCAGGTTGGCCAATGATTAGACAGAAATTGTGCTCAAATACCTCAAGCCTATAATGCCTTTTTCTTTTGCCAATGAATGTGTACATGGATTGGAAACACATGTTGGTATTCAAGTAGTATTCATGTTGGCCTTAGCTCTTACATCCCATCAGGCCTTCTCGTGTCTCCACTGAACATTCCCTTCCCATCAGCCAGTGATGCCTGGAGAATTTATCTACCCCTTCCGTGGCTGTCTTACTTCCAGAATGTCCCCATTAAAATACTGGTAGTTTGCTGCTTGCCTCAACTGGGACTGCAACCTTTTCTTTTCATTTAGTACCTATTCTGCTATTTTTTATTGACAGTGCCGCTGAGCAATAGTTTTAGCTGTCTTTTGGAAATCAGGCCAGCCCCTCTGGCTACACAGTTATTGGCTCTTATGGCCAGACTGCTCTGGTAAAACTTCTGTTGATGGAGTGGCTGGGGACATTGGGGAAAGGAGGAGGGGGTATGGAAGTACTTCTAGGCAAGAATGCTTCAGATTCCCTCTGTTTCTAACTTGAAGTTTAGCAGATTATCATGAACTAAACACTTCTCAGATTTTATATTTGCCCTTGGTTGATTTCCAGGACCCAAAAATGGTTTGTTTTTGACAATTTTGTTCATTTTTATACTTATTTTCTGGGAAGAGGATTTGCTGACCTCTTTATTCTATCACAGCTGGCAGTCCACTTCTATTGTTATTAATTTATAAAATTATTCTAAAAGATTACATAAATATATCTCATAACTCCATATTAAGGTGATCAGCATAGTATAGGCTTGATTCTTTTAAACCAAAAGCATTTTGCCAAAACAATATAATTTTTATTTTAAAATCCAATTTATTAATAAATTTAAACTTGTGATTTTTAAAGACCATCATTCATTTTAATATTCTATTTAATTATATAAATATAAGGTCTCAGTATAGTAAAGGATAAAGAATTTTTTAAAGATGGCCAAACCTGCATTAAAGAAATGTTCAAGCTATTCTAAAAGCTCTTCAAAGCCATAAAAGTCTCAATTATTTTAAAAAGTGTTTTAAATGAGCATTGCCATGCATTTTATTCTATTAGAATTTAACCTTAAATGCTAATATGACTGTTTTATGTTCTTTGAGGAAAAATGAATATTAAAATGTTGTAGATTACTGAAGTGTTTTTGAAGTACCTAAGCTTTTTATTTTAATTTAAATTCATTTAAATTATTTTTCATTAATTTGGTTTTAAACCTGAATACAAATATAGTGATAGTTCTAGTTGCCATATAGACCTAGACCTTTCACTAATTCAGACCTTTCTTCCTTTCACTTATAAACAGTTGTTAAATATTCCTAAACACTTAGATACTGGTCAGTGATGCTTTTAATATGCTACGTAATTTACAGGAATATCCTATTTTTAGATTGAAATTGGGCTTTTTTATAGGGTACCATAAGACTACTTTCTGAATGTCTGGCTGTTATCCTTTTCTGTTTAGATATTAATGGGTTAAATACTAATAGCCAACCAAGTGACTGCTATGTGTCAGGTACTGTTCTATGTACTTCTGCGGTATTATCTCATTGAAGGGTCACAGTCAATCTCTGAGACAGATACTATCTATCATTAGCCAGTTACCAGATGAAGCAACAGAGACATAAAATGGTTAAGTGACTTTCCCGATAGCTCACAGCTACCAAGTGGTAGAGCAGGACTTGACCTCAAACAGTCGTAACCACAGAGCTCATGCATGTGCTTACCCACTTGCTATGTGGAATGAGGAAAAGATGACTTATAGAAGTAAAGTCCAAGTCTTTACAAAGAAGCATCAAATGAGCAGAGCTGCAGTGTGCCATGGTCCTAAGACTCCTCTAAGAAAATGTCCCCTGAACTGTAAGTGCCTATCCACCTCTTAGATAAGAGATGCCAAAGGGAGAGTGAGTCTTGGAGAGAGTGGAGGCTGCATGATTGAACTGATTCTCCCTATTATGAGTGTTGCTGTCCAGTGGAAATTTAGAAGCCTAGGTTTCATTTCATTAAAGTTAACATGTCTTTACATCAATAAGATTGGATTATACCTCTTTATTCCTTCCATTGGCAACTGTGTAAGTCATCCCAAAAGAATTTAGACTACATTTATCTTTTTAAATTCCAGCTTTCTAATCAATCATTATTTTAGTCCAGGACAATTTTAAATTTTTTTGCATTTTTCCTGCATATTTCCTATGCTCATTTCGCCATAGGGTCATCTGCCCCCACATTCTGTTCCTAAATCTCTGCGTGGTTGTTTTTTCCTTGTCATTCTGATCTCTGATTAAGTATCACCTTGTTTTAGTCCATTTAGGCTGTCATAACAAAAATACCATAGACTGGGTGACTCAACAACCAACACTTATTTCTCCCGGTTCTGAAGGCTACAAGATCCAGGATGAGGGCACTGGAAGATCCAGTGTCTGGTGAGGACCCATTTTCCATTTCATAGATGCCATCTTCTCACTGTATCCCCACATGATAGGAAAAGAGTGAGAGAGCTCTCTGGGTCTTTTTTATAAGGGCACTAATCCCATTCATGAGGGGTTCACCCTCATGACCTAATCACCTGCAAAGGGCTCCACCTCCTAATACCATCACCTTGGTGGTTAGGATTTCAACATATGAATTTTAGAGGGACACACACATTCAGTCCATTGTATTACCTCTTCCATGAGGCCTTCCCTTTCCAAGTCTAACGTCACCAAAATCCCTCCAGAATCATGTTACCCTGTTGTGTTTCCTTCATAGGGCTTATAATTATCTGGATTATCTTACTTATTCATTCTGCATGTTTACTGGCTGTCTTCTGCACTGGAATCTAAGTTCCATGGGATCAGGAACATTGTTTATCTAAGAGATACAGTGGTCTCTATAACTATACTTAGAAATATTCTGGCAGACACATAAAAAAGATGATTGATTAATATATGTTGAATTACTTAACATTAGTTTAAGGCAGGTAAGGGAAACGAGACTCAAGTTGGACAGGAGGACTTGATATAGGCACAACCCATCAGGGCTTTGAGCCCAGGGCCCAGTTAGGGATGGGAATGAAGGTTGGGAAGAGAGCTGTAGAGAGGAAACTGATGCCTTGCTGGAAGAATCAGGCTACTGGTCAGAGTCACCTGGAGGTGGCACTCAGGGAGAAAAAAATGCCAGGAGATGCTAAAAATGCGAGATACATGCAATAACCTACAACTAGTGGATAACTCATCCCTCACCACTGCCACCCCACATCTCCATACCCAGTGTCACCAATACAAGTGGAATTGTCCCTCCCAGTTCTTGTGAGTGGATGTGTGCATAAGCATGCAGACATAAATGTTTGGAGCTGAGGGGTAGAGGCAGCAGGGACAGCCACATAATTCATCCCATCAACAGCTCTGAGTTCAGCTTGCCCTTGGGTTGGCTAAGAGAAGAAACCAAGAGAAGAAGCTAGGCATCCCCTAGTCTAAATCCAGCCTACAAGCCTGTTTTACTGGTCCCACTCATGTTTAAAAATATCTTGTGCCAACACTTTAATATAGGAGGTTTAACATAAACTTCAGGTTTTCTAGGTTCGTTTCACAAATAGGAAGGTCTGGCATGCTGAACCTGCATTCCCACGTGGGACAGTTGGCCGGAGCAGAGTAGCCAGCATGGCCTTGGATGGGTACACTCTGCAGTTCCTCCTGAGCCCCGTCATCTGCTGGTGTATTTAGCTGGCATTATCCCCTTAGGTCACCTGCTTCGTCTTCATAGGTATTTGAGTTTGCGGTATTGATATAATAGTTAATCCACAATATAAATAATCAATAAATGTATCATCAATAATAGTGTTTGTGTTGGTAGAACTTGTGCACTACATAGAAACCTCCTAGGGCTCCCCATTGCTTGCCAAATGATGTCCACATCCCTAACTTGGGTGTGGTCTGACCTGTATCTTATATCCAGTTATTACCTTATAAAAGGAACAGAGTTACATTTTAGGCTTTTAACTTATAAAAACAGCCCTGTAGCCTTGGGAGAGACAGAAGGAGAGAAATGAGGAAAAAGAAAAACAAAAACTCAAGAGACAGAAAGACAGAGAGAGAGATAGACAGAAGTAGAACAATTTAAATAGTGCAGGCCATCTCCTCCCATCCCTAGTTCTACTCATGGAACATGTGCCCACTGGCACTGGATACATATAGGCTTGAAACAACATGTTGACAAAATTTGTGTAAAGAAATATGCAAATGATTTTGATTCTCTTACCATTGACAAAAAGGTGAATAAAATGAATTGTTTAGGTTGTCAAACTACTGAGCTTTGTGAACATCCTTGAAGAAAAACTGAAGAACAATGATAGGCCAAAAAGAAACACTGGCCAACAGAGAGGGAACTGATAAAATGCAACTACAGTTTATATTGTGTAAACAAAAATGGGCGCCCTGCTATACTCAACCATACTGCTTTATCAATGAGTAGCCCTTTCTCACCAACTTTTTCTGATGTTTGGATTATAAATTACATTTGAAAATAGAAAATAAACCTGTATATTAATTCAGTGACTTGGAATCTGAGACAAATCTTTATTTTAAAGGAGTAAACCAGATAAATTATTTTAGCCTTTTCAAAGTAACTCACACTGATCCTGGACCAATTCTGATTCTTACAGGAACATCCAATACTTGGGCAACCCTTTTTTGTACTTCATCCCTGCAAAACGAATGAATTCATGGCTCCAGTATTAAAGAATTCTCGGAAAATCAATAAGTAAGAAACACCATCAAGATACATTGGCTTCTACTCTGATTTTAAAAGTGTAAATCTTTCTATGTGACTCTAAAAGCTAGGCTAAAAAAGAAATATTATTTATAATAATAATAATGGCTAACACATTGATTTTTACTATATGCTAGATGCTGTTCTAAGAGTTTTAGATACAGTAAGACATTGGATTTTTGCAACATTCCTATGTGCTAAGTACCATTATTTTACCGAATTTACAGAGGAGGAAGCTAAAGAACAGAAGAATTAAGCCACTCAAACAAGGTCACACAGCTAGTTACATGGTAGGATTTGAATCTAAGCATTTTGGCCTCAGAACCATGCTCTTAATCACTGCACTCTGCTACCTTAGTAAGTGCTGTAAACCACAAGGGTAAAATTTGAATCATCAAGGGGAGTCAGGAACCCCAGTATCTTACCTCATTCTTCAACTACCCTAATAAAGGATCCTCACAGGCTCTCTGGACCTTAAATTCTTGTCAAGCAATGGGGCTGGCATTCAGAAATGCTGAGATTCCAGGTGGTAGGTACAAATCTTTGAAGAAAACCTCATTTCTGTTATTGTTGGTGACCAACTGATATTCTACCATTCATCCAAAAACTACAATGGAAACATTAGCATGGCCTGTTTTTCACTTGTTTCCTAGGAATGTCAACTACATCACATCATGGCTGAGCATTGTAGGGCCAGTTGTTGGACTGAATCTACCTCTGAGTTATGCCAAAGCAACCTCTCAGGCTGAATGAAATGTCGATTAACAAGGTAAAAGAAAAGCCTGGATTTAATGTTTTGCTGTTATAAAGATCAGTGTCTCCATTGCATTTAGACTCATCCCACCAAATGTAAAATTTGCTTTCATCTTTAGTGGGCAAATCCTGACTTAATTTTTATTTTTCCAATCAGTCCCCTACCAAGTTATTTAGGACAGGGATCCCCAAATCCCAGGCCACGAACCAGAACCAGGCCTCACAGCAGGAGGTGAGAGGCAGCTGAGCGGGCGAGGAAGCGAGCATTACCACCTGAGCTCTGCCTCCTATCAGATCAGCTGCAGCACTGGATCCTCATAGGAATGTGAACCCTATTGTGAACTGCGCATGCGAGGGATCTAGGTTGCATGCTCCTTATGAGAGCCTAACCAATGCCTGATGATCTGAGGTGAACCAGTTTCATCCTGAAACCATCTCCCATTTGGTCTGTAGGAAAATGGTTTTCCCTGAAACTGGTCCCTGGTGCCAAAAAGGTTGGGGGCCACCAATTCAGGAAATATTTTACTTTGCTGTAAGTAGCATGCACTCAATGACAGGAATGGATAGTTTTATTTTAGTACTGATATTCTTAAATAAGTCTTTACTGCTCAGTTAATCTTCTTTTGTTCTCTTGGCTTTTGTTTTGTGTTCTTCAGATTCTTCTATCGAGCTTAGAAATTGTGGTATGAAGAATGTCAAGAGTTTACTTACCAGCCCTGGCTTTAATAGGACCAATACCATGGAATATTTCATCTCACCAAGATTTGACATGGATTATTTTTCCCTTGGACACAAATGTCTACAGCAACTGATATTTGATAGACCGAATGTTTAGAAGAAACATTTCAAAGGCGTACATCATGGCCAGGCATGGTGGCTCACACCTGCAATCCAAGCACTTTGGGAGGCCGAGGTGGGAGCATCACTTGAGCCTGGGAGTACGAGACCAGCCTGGGCAACATGGTGAAACCATGTCTGTACAAAAAAATACAAAAATTTGCCTGTTTGTGGTGGTGTGTGCCTGTAGTCCCAGCTACTCAGGAGGCTGAGGTGGGAGGTTGGCTTGAGCCCAGGAGGCAGAGGTTGCAGTGAGCTGAGATTGTGCCACTGCACTCCAGCCTGGGTGACAGAGCCAGACACTGTCTCAGAAAAAAAAAAAAAAAAGACACATCACTTTAAATAGCAAAAAACGAATCTTAACTTACTAATACTAGGAATAACAACATTATTAGGGCACTTGCAGGTTATTCTTTTCTAGGCCAAGTACTTCACTTCCATTTGTCTGATATGGAGATTGAGGGAGAAATGTATTTGTGTATTCATTTTAATGTAAGATATACAAAAATTAAATTACTGGATTTACCTGTCCCTGAAACTGGTGTTATAAACATGACCTATCTTAAGTGATTCTCCCAGAATCAAACTCAGGAACAATAGATTATTTCTGTTTTACTCCAAAGATACGGGAGAGAGAGAAAGAGAGAGAGTGTGTGTGTGTATGTATGTAGGTGTGGGTGTTTGTGTAGACAGATAGACATAAAATAAAGAAAAAAACACAATATTTTACTGTGAGACAATATGTTTTACCAGCGAAATGTGGCATAGTAATTAGAAGTTTTCTAAAAAGCTATAGGAAATATTTAAACATTAAGATTTCTTTTTGACCTACAGTAATAAAACAATGGTCATTTTACCCCTCTACTTCTCAACCCCACAGCTGCTCTGCTGTACTCTTTGAGGGCTCTTAAGCGAGTCTTCGTGTCCCTGAGACTTATTTTCCTCATCTTTAATTTGAAAATAACAAGCTACCTCATAGGGTTGCTGTGAGAACCACATGAGATCATTAATGCATGATAAGATATTGTAAAGTATTATACAAATATTCATTAAATGTTCACCTTTCTTGTATATAATTGGTATTCACTCAGGCTGTAAATAAGTTTCATAGCCAGTTAAGTATTAAGATAAACCTAACCTGGAACCATTTTTTTTTTTTTTGGTTGCTTGTTTTGTTTTTTGTTTTCATTTACTGGGAGCTGAAACTAAGATTAAAATGTCGTTGGGTTTTTAGAGAGTCTAGATTAGTGTCTTTGAATGAGAGATATGCTTAAAATCACCTGAGGATCGTTTACAGCTACAGATGCTGGGGCCACCTGACACAGTCTCTCTGGGGGTGATTCTGCTCTGGAGAACCTCTGGTCTGGATATACCTTTATTGTGACATTGATTTGTATTGTTTTGCTCTACTGACAGGCCTTTTCCAATCCATACAAGCTGAACTTGCTTCCTAATGTTTGTCTAGGCCTTACCTGGATAGGAAGGAAGCTTAGGAGACATGTTCACAAGGTAGCCGTCTTGTAGGAAACCAGTCCAGGTGAGGACATCATTCACCAGTGTATCACTGAGCACCACTGACAGCACCCTCAGTCCACATCTGCAGATTAAGAGCTGAACTCTCACAGAGAAAGTGGAAGTAAAGAAAGGGTTAATTCAAACTGCTAGAAAAGCTAAAAGTAAATTTTAAAATGCTGAGCTGCACATATTCATGCTAGGATGAGAGCCAGCTTAAATGCTTGCTGGGCATTTTGGTATTTACCGCTTAACATGTTTTCAACTTCTGTGAGGGATTTTCCCCCCACTCTCCCTAATGTAAACACAGATTTCTCGGCAAGTCATTTCTCAAGCCATGTCATTTCTAGTGTAAAATAAATTATAATAATGTGTCATCTGAATGGTGTTCTTGTCTGCAAATATTAGTTATCCTTTGCTAACAGATTCTGAGATGAGAGTCTATCAGTTTGGAGCCAACGTTTAGTTTTTTTAAAAAAGTTAAAAATAAAACTTTTTCTCTGATCAACAAGGACCTAAAAATTCATCAGTGGCAGAAAAAAGTTCTGAGGAGCTCCTGTAGATTGGGGAGGCCTTTCTCCCCAGATAGATCCCTCTCCTCGAGCAGCTTGATTTCTTTCTAGAATTGTTTTCACTTGAAAAACTTCTAATTTTTGGTTGATAACAATTTGCATTTTTATAAACGCAGTTATGCGAACGGAATGTTATCCTGAGAGTTATTAAACATTAGACGATATTTGGTTTTGTTGAAGTAACTGTTCTTTCTTGGCAATATGAAGAATTTTTCTCCCTGCTTCCTCATATAATGTACAACATCTTCTATCAGAAATCAGGCTGGGTAAAGCCGCTTCCAGCTAACCTCCTAAATTCTGCTTCTGTGTGACCTTGGAAAAATTTCTTCACCTCTGTGGTCCTCAGTTTCTTTATTTGTAAAATGGGGAAATTCAGCTATGTGTCTTTTGCGACAACCGTGAATTTTTAGGTCTGTGAAATAGAAGTCCAGAGATCTAAACTGTGAGGCTGGTTAGCTGCTGGCTGTGTGACTTGGGCCAATTTTCTTATCTCCTTCTTAAACTATTTCTGAAAAATAAAGCCCACAGTATCTATGCTGCTTACCTGACAAGGGCATAGAGAAGATCAAAATGCTGCATAAAACTGAATGTGCTTTATAACCAAGGCAGTGAGACATGGAGTGAGGGGTGACAGTGGATAATGACCTGCTCCTTCAGGGACACCAGCATCCCTACTCCTCCCCACCTCATTGCATGCCTGAGCCCTCCCCAGTGCCAAGCGCTCTCTGATCTGGGGAGTCTTCTGCTTCACACCCTTAGCCGATTGTTGCTTATGCTGGTACCCACCTGGAAGTGCTTCCTTCCCCACAGATCTACCCAATTCCCACCCCGGTGTTGGTGATTTACTCTCACAAAGCCACCTCTGACCACCACAGCCCCGAATCAATGCTCCCTTCATTACTCACTGTCCTTTGTCACTATGAACTTTTAGCTGCCTCTCTTCCACTCTGATTTCTCCCCCACTTGAGAAGTATGAATTAAGTCATTTCAGGTGTTGGCCACTGTTCTTGATTTACTCTGTTGCAGCATACACAGAAGAATGTCTGTGTGTGCCACGTAAGTAGAAAGGCTCTTGGGTTGGGAATTTGAGAGGTGGGAAAACTCTTTGAGGAACCAGTGGAGGGAGCAGTGGAGGGAGCAGAGTCTGTGTTGCTCAGCAGGTCCTAGCTTACAAGCTAGAGGTTAAAAAAAAAACACAAAATTCACCTTTCCCCCAATAAACGCTTATTAAAATCAAGAGAAAAAAGGCCAGAACTGGGTTTTTGCATGTACTTCTCCTATGATAGGTATAGTGGTTTTTATTCATACTCCCAAAATATTAGAAAATAGAACTCTGCAATGTCAAAACCAGCTCTTACATAATCCAGAGATATTCCAGTGAGGTTTTTTTAGGATTGAAATTTGAGAGTGAGAATATGAAAATACTCACTTCAGCAGATTTCCTCTTACTTACTGAATCCTAGGCCAGGTGCCACAGATAGCAAATGGGGAGACATAACAATGTCACAGTTCAGTGAAGAGGACACACAAGAGGACGCTTCAGGAACAGTAGGCTGCATGCTGTGGGCAAGCACATGCCAAAGAAGGCTTTGCAGAAGAGGAATGTGAGTGGAATCTTGAAAACCTTATGACTTAGCCAGGTCAAGAGTGAAGGAAGAATCTTGAAGGTGCTTGTGGGGAAGTGGTGAAGAATCAAGCTGGCTAGCAGGACTGGGGCCAGCTCTGGAAGAGCCTTTACTGTCACACTGAGAATTTGTATTTGGCCTGAAAACCACAGCCACTGCTGGGATTCAAATAGAAAAGTTAAAGTGATCACATTTGCATTTAAGAAAGAACCTGTATTTTAAAAATGGCTGCTGCATATAACTAATCATCCACACACTTTGTCAGGTTTGGTTTGGTTTGGTTTGGTTTTTACCACAGTATCTTAGCCACAGGATTTAGAAGGTTGAGGAGCACAGCAGGAGTTGAGATTGTGCCAAAGACACTTTTCAGTTTTTACCTAGGGTCTTCCAAAACAAAACCTGCCAGTGTCCTGAAAAGCCTTGAATCCTGGCTACTGAGTTACCTGGGGCAAGTCACTGCACCTCTCTGGGCCTCTGTTTTCTGACATATTAACATGAGGAAGTATATTTGATTGAGTAAAATCAATTTATTGTTTTGTAACAAGGTTTTTTTTTTTTTTTTTTTTTTTTTTTTTTTTTTTTTTTTTTGAGATAAGGTCTTACTCTGTTGCCCAGGCTGGAGTACAATGGCTTGATCTTGACTCACTCCAGCCTGACCTCCTGGGCTCAAGGGATCCTCTCACCACAGCCTCCTGAGTAGCTAAGACTGCAGGCACATGCCACTGTGCCTGGTTAATTTTGTTTATTTTTGTAGAGATGAGGTTTCACTATGTTGCCCAGACTGTGCTTGAACTCCTAGACTCAAGAGATCCTCCTATCTTGGCCTCCCAAAGTACTGGGATTACACAGGTGTAAACCACTATGCCCAGCCAGCTTTTTTTTTTTAAATGAAATGGAATACATAAAAAATAAAATATCAAAGTGCACTACACATAGTAAGGGCATTAGTGTTTTGTGAAACTTTGTTTTCAACTATATGTTATATACATATATACACACACACATATATTTTATATATATATGAAATCAGTGTCTATGTGTGTGTCCACACACACACGTGCACATGTGCACTGGGTTGTGATATAGACTGTATTTCTAGTGCCAGAAAATAGAAATCTGAAAACTGATGGACTAATAAGCTTCCTTCCTATTCTAAGACTTGATTTTCCTTATGCTGCTGACCAGTAAGTTGTCGAAGGCTATTCTATTAGTAGAAGACTATAGGAAGTACTTAACAATTATTGTGTCTGTGGCACTTCATGTGCACCAAGGTGTTCCAGCTACTTCTCTGGATTTTTATAGGGCTTCTCTATAGAAGCATTTTCACATTTTTATTCCTAAATCTGATAGTTCTTTACAGTAATCCTGTGATCTCAAGACCTTGCTTTAACTTTTGTGTTGTTAGTAGTGACATCTAGTGGTTCTGTTGCAAGCATCCTGCACTCTAGACTATTGGAGCTGAAAGTGATTTTAGTGACCACCAGGTCCCATTCTGTAAATTATTAAAAACAAACTGAAAACTCACATGTATTCCTACATTCAAATCAACTCGATATAATAATAAATAAAACCTATAGCTATGTAGTGCTTTCTTGGATTACTTTGAAGCTTTTCAAATACCCAGAAGTCGCTGTTGGTTGTAACCATAAGGCAGAAATTTAACAAAGCATGCCCTGATAAAAGAAAATCATATTTCAGTATAGCTACAACCTTTGGTGCATTGTTATTTACAGGTACATGCCAGAACCTCAGGCTTTTGCATGGTGCCTGGTGTTTGGTAGCACTCACTAAATCTTTGTTGAATGTTTGAATATGTGGGTGATCACAAAGCCCTGGAGAAGAATCATAGAAGATGTGAGACTTGAAGGATAGAGAATTTGATAAGAGACTAGAAGGCTAAGCTTTTAAGTTAGGGGCCATGGAAGGCCAAAAAAGGAACCATCAGTAGGACCCAACAGGGCACCTTTGAAGGTTTTAACAGAGAAAGTTGACTATGTGGAGTTGTTGGAGGACTCATTGGGAAGTGGTAAATTGAATGGATTAGAAGGAAGAGAAACTGGATAGAGGCCAAGAAACTAATGTAGTGGTGAAGTGATGAATTTCTAAGTTAGGAAGGTGACAGAGTAAAGAGAAAGAGATCAGTATCAGAGACATTTTGAGAACCAGAACTTGGTGTGAAGAGAATGAGAAGACACTTGTCATGACTTGGTTATGGCTTAGATTCTATAGTGGGAATCCCTGTCCAGGCCTGGACCGACTTCGTTGGTCTCTGTTCTGCAGGTATCAGGGACTGAACTTGCTTTCTTCTTTCAAGAAGTGCCACCCACCCTATCCCGTGAGAAGATTTCTTTCTCCCAACCAGCAGCAGAGTGAGATGTAGTCTCCTCAGCACTGTCCTTCAGTAGGTTCAAAGAAAGAGTCCCCAGGCCCTTTCCTGCTTATCCATAGGGAAATGACTAAATAAAATGTTGTACTGTGTAGCAGTTAAGGGGAATGAATTCAATCTCCATGTATCCAAATGGGCACATCTCAAAAAACATTATTGAGTTAAAACAGAAAACAAATAGTAGATGTTAACTATGAACTGTGTTTGAAAGCATCCCCCCAAAAAGCATGTATGCATTGGAAAGCTAATCACTGTTTTACCAGTATTAAGAGGTGGGACATTTAAAAGATGATTAGGCCATGAGGACTCTGCCCTTTTGAATGGAATAATGCCTTTGTTACAGGAGTGGTTCCTTTCAAAAGAATGGGCTTGGCACCCTCTTGCTTACTCTCTCTCACCCACGTGATGCCTTCTACCATGTTATGAAGCAGTAAGAAGACCCTTGCCAGATGCAACCCCTCAATCTTGGACTTCCCAGCCTCCAGAGCTGTGAGCCAATAAAGTTCTGTTCATTATAAATTACCCAGTCTGTAGTGTTCCATTATAGCAGCACAAAATAGACTAAGAAGTCAGTATGCATGCAGCTTCATACTGTTTATATTTTAAAATGCACTAATACCATGTATTTTCTATAGGTACATATACTGCAAGTGTATGGAACATATAAAAAGTGATCTAGAAGGAAGGACACCAGATTTGTAAAACAGGTAATCAAAGACTTCTTTGATCACTCTCTGCAGGTATAGAGTGGGAACTTGGTTTGGAAGTGATCAAAGAAGACTTTGGCTCTTTTTGTAATG